TACTGGACAATGAATCTTCTGAGATCCGTGTTCTTTTTTCAGAGGTATATTGTGCTTTACTATTCAATCTGTTTCAGGTAAATAAAATAATCGGGATTGCATTTTGAGAGACTGTAGTAGTATACCAATAAGATGTGTTTTTTTTTCTGCAAATAGCACATATTCATATTTTCTATAGATTTTGCACCTTAATTTAAACGGATCCATTTTCGCAGAGCAAAAAAAGAAACAAATATTATTTTCAAAATGTTTAAATAAAATTCGCAGCAATAAAATTACACGCTAAGTAAAAATGGAGGTTATCTTTATTCATTCAAAGATTGATTTATTTCTTATCGTTTTAACGTTTGACAAGATAAATTCCCTTTCTTTAAAACATTATTTTAAAGAACATTTTTTACATGAAAACTTCCTGGATAATATGTCGTTTTTTTTTCTTTTTTTTTCATGAATGACTTAACACACAATATGTGCACTATATTTGAATGTGCAAATGTCATATTGATATTGATAGGAAATGTGATATCGACATGCGGAGTTCAAATTCAAACGGCGAGTTTCGTAGAAATACACATGAAATCGTATGAATATATATTTTCACGACAACAGATTCTCGAATGGGACTCTATATTTTTTGTCAACAATTACTGAATAACAACTCTTAAATCATATCAATGGAGCTTTGTGTAAGAAATTCTAACCCGTATAAAACAACTACTGGCTTTTTAAACCACAGAAACGTACCTTGCCTAGTCTGTGGTCATGTACTCTACAGAGTTAAATAATATATACAATATGTGCAAAAGGCAATTTCAATCAATATTTATAATAAATACTAGGAATGGATTATATTGACATTTGAATGTCGTTCGCACAAGTATAATGTTTAAAGGAGACTCTTAAAGAACTTTGTCATTAGAACTGTAACACAAAAACAGAATTGTCATGATATTTGAAACGTAAATCTTTCTAACTGAAATTCTTCAAATTCTTACATTATCATTATTATTACTTTCAACTGAATTTCTGTTTCATTTTATAGTGCCTCAGAAATAATCTTCCTTTAAAAGTTACTAAGCAGTGCAAACAAGAGAAAAGCGAAGAACCGTCGAGTGAAAATTAAAACAGAATCCTTTGTACTTTAGGTACTCATCTAGCTCTATAGACATCATTCCTCCATTGGTCAGAATTTACCGGAAATATTGAATCTATATTTCCTTTGCATTTATTAAGTATTCTCACTGAGTAATATTGTTATCTCAACATTTCACTCTATGCAAGACTTAAAAGCCATTAGGACGCAGGAGACGACTGAATTGGAATGAGTTATGTGAAAATTGAAAGCTTTATTATGAACCGATAACATTAAACGAACATGAAGAAGACAGAAGATAACGATTGATTTTGCACTGATATGTTTAATCTCTGGTAACAGGGAAGGACTAAACCAGAAGGAAATTCCACAAGCGAAAAATGCGAGAGAAGAAAAATTTAACATAGAACTTACGGTTAAATCTGACCATTTCAAATATAAAGTTATGAGACCTTCCTGCCAATCTAGTATTGCGCTTAAATTTGTAACGTCGAGGTACAAAAGAGGAAATCTCATCAGAAGAATTACCATTAAAATAGTTATAGATATGGCAAAGAGTAACTACATTACAGTGGTGGTAAAGGGATTGAAGCCGAGATGCCAGGTCTGGATTGATAAGATTGCAGTTACTTTCCTGGATTTTATCAATAATCTCTAAATATTTAGAAAAAAAACAAGACTAGATGTGGTAGTAATATTTAAAGAATTGACAAATGATCGACTTCTAAATGTGTAAGATAGATTATGTCGAGAAAACCTGTCTAGTACATCACAGTAAACCAATTTTCCTAGCGCAGTCATAACATTTGAGTAATATTATCATTCCACATATCAGCTGAGAGGATGCAATGTATTGCTGTTATGGAGATTAACATCCGCCAAGCTAATGGAAGGCAAGATGTTCTCGAAGACGATTAAAGAAAGCAGTTTCGCTTTGTAGGTAGTAACATTAACATGCCATTTCTGCCCCATTTAACACCATATTTTACATCTTTTAGTTGTCAGTCTGATCATATTCAACCTATCAGATTTTCATTTAAGAGGTTAATCAATATTGGCGTCATCAGCATAGATAACCAGTTGAAAATTAGGGATCGAAAAGTTGAACAGAAGGAATAACTGAGGTGAAAGTATAGTGCCTCTAAAGACGCACATATTGGTGAAAAAAGATTTAGAATAGTGACCGTTCAAGATAATTTTTTCATTTCACGACTTGATGAAAAAGATTGAATCTGATCAAAAATTCGTCCAGAGATACCATAACTTTTTAATTTGTCAAACAGACCAGCCAGTCAAACAATATCAAACGCTTTTGAGATGCACAAAGTAACAGTCCGATCTTCAGCACTTTCATCTAAATCTTGGCAGACTCTTTCAGCAATAACTGTTAGCACATCAGCAGTTGACTATGTGAAACGAAATACATAATGCTAGTCTGAAAGAAATGAGATGTGAGATGCTTAACCTCTTGTACATTGTCATTTCTAATAGGCCGATTGATGCTTGACCAATTCTAAAATGTAAGATTTTATTGATACAATTGTCTTCATTGTTGCATTGAATAAATACCTTTTATTTTAAACCTGTTTATGTTATAAAACCTATACTACAATTCTGATAAACCCTACTTTCTAAGCAGATGTTCTAGTGGTGTGAAAACACAAAACCATATTTGCATACTGACAAAAGAAATTCTCCTTATTAATTATGGAATATCAGGCTGCAAAACTGACAAATATATAAAGTTACAATGCGCTTCATACATAATAAATAATTTACAGTACCATCAACAAATAGCGGAAATATATAAGTAATTTTGTAGCTTAATTGTATAATTAATTTTCTTCTCCAACTGGTAGAGTTTTGTCTTTATTTTTGCACTACGATAGTAGTATTAGATTATTTTAAAATTGAATTCACCCATGGTAAGGTAGTGTAGCCACTAAGACAGAAGGACTTACTGGGTGGGAGAGAATTAGAAAGCAGAAACGTTACTTAAGAGTGAGAGCAATAGAATAGTAATCAAGAAAACTGTTGCAATAGTATTATTATATTAAAACTTATCAGTTAGTATTATTATTTGACCGTTGTTCATTTTTATTATTGTTCTTTTTTTTCTTCATGTAGGATGACGTTATTGAATCTGCGAAAATGAAATACAGATGCAACGCTGACAAGTATACTAGTCAACATTAATCACTAATTTCCAATGCATCATCAGAACGTTTCAAATGCTGTTGTACATAATAACATTGTATATTTTAAAAGAAGTTCGACACGAACCAATTTTTTGAAAAAATATAATGCGGAATCATCCGTCTATATTTCTGAGATGAGGTATTGCAACTACACTATTTACAATGTTCGAACTATTGTCCTCATCTTTTTGCCATATTGACGACATTTCGGCTGTTGTACACTCCGGTAACCTTCATGGAATATTTGTTGGAATTTCGAATCGAATTGGTTCGTAATTCCAACAAATATTATGTGAAGAAGGCTGAAGCGTACAAAGGCTGAAACGCCATTAATATAGCAATAAAAATGAGTACAGCAGACTGAACGATATAAATAGAGTAAATAATCTAACGTGTATTTAGCTAAATTTGATAATACACGTAGTAAGGTTAGAACAACATGGCAATATTTTCTTACCAAAGTCATGGGTGAACAACATTATTCAATATTTGCACGCTTGATATTCCTCCTATTGCTCTCCTTTTTTTTTGTTGTTATCTCAACTTTTCGGCCGCTGTGCCTCCCGTCCTTCGTCAGATTTATATTGATCTGGATAACCTACGGCACAATGGCGTAGTGGGTTAATGCGTTGGTTCGCGAATTTGGTGAAACAGTGGGAGTTCAATCCCTTGAACGCCCAGTGTTTACTTGAAATCGGGCGAACAATAACTAAGCAGAAGTAAAATAAGAACTAGTGCGGTTATACTTAAACATGGGTAGTGGAATGAGAACAGTTTACCCATATAGATTATATAAGTAGTTTACCCAGATCAATATATAACCGACGAAGTCTGATATTTGCGATAATAACAACAAAGATGAGGACAATTGTCCGAATATAAATGGAGTAAATAATGATAAAACCTCATCCCAGAAATTCAGAGAGAAATCATTATATAAAATGCCTCTACGTGTGTTGTCCATCAAATATCAGAGTGCTGGAACGGTAGAAGAAATATGATGAATATGATGTTATAAAATTAAACTGACTCTGGCTTTTAAAGTTTACATTGCCTACCTATTAGCGTGGTTGAGTAGAGCATTAGATAAAAAGTGAAAGGGAGAAATTAGATTGCATCAATCCTCCAATTGGACTGTCCAGTCTGTAAAATGTCATAGTGCGTCTGACCAGTAACTCAGACGAAGAGATTAATTAGATTATCCTCGTGGAATTGATGGGATTGGGCGTCGCTAAATCTTTAATTCAGACATTTTCATCAAGTACGTACTTTTCGTTTTTCGCGTGTCATCTGCCTCGTGAATTAGCGCGTGTTATATGTCCACTTAGCAATATTTGCATAACGTCGCTTAGTGGGACAGGTAGATAAAATGAATCAAACGAGGAAAAATGAGTTCTTTTATAACGTTGGTGAAAATAGCTGTCTACGACGTCCTGAATTTTGTTCCTAAAATAATTGATTGGTTTGTTTTCTACGACTTATCTAATATTTTCAAGTTGTAAGGATCTCATTCTGGAATTAATAATGGTTTAGTGATACAAGACTTACCAATTAGTCTATAGCTTGGAAGGGACGAAGGGAAATCATATGTTTCCCAAGGGTATTTACGTGTAAGTGAATATAACAAACCTTACAGGGATTTGAACTCGGCTCTTCGATTAGCAATTCTGAGCCATTATCTATTGCACCACACACACATTCAAACTTAGAGCGCCTGGAATTCACAAGCCTTCAACGATCTAAGTACTGACCAGGCTCGACGTTGCTTAACTTCAATGATCGTAAAGGAACGGGTGTTTCACCGTGTTATAGTCCGCGGCATTGTTCCTCAATGTACCTCATCCCAATTCATCACGCCCTTGCGTTCGTTCTGTTATCTATTCACTCAAACACGTTAAAATTTTCGACATATGCATACCCGAAATGATGGAGTGGAATGGGCAGATACATTGACGCACTGGTCCAATGAATGTTCGTAAAGACAGATGTGAAACGCTTGGACGATAATGTCTCTTTTTGGTTCATGATCTGCCAGAAGAATTGGCTTGACTGTAACTTGGACACAGTTCTCCCACGCGTACATGGCACCTCCAACCTTGCAGCACCTGGTATTCACAAATGATCACCTATCTAGGTGCTGACAAGGCTCGACTATGTTCAACTTCGCGGATCTGACAAAACATGTTGTTTCGACCTGATATAAATGCAAGCCCATTTACTTCAATCTGGCACACTACATAATAGATATTATATAGCAGCTCAACTAATGTTGTGTGTGTGTTTATATAAGCACACTTGTCTACTATGTCCGCTTAATACTTTTCTTAGTTTAAGAAAAGCATAATTCTCAATACATATAGGCCTTTATTTTTCTACGTCATACTTTGCCTCAAATGTTACTGCACTAGTGAAATGTATATTTTCCCGCTTGATCATGGCGTTCACATATACGAAGCATTATGTAGATACACTAACAATTGTCGAAATACACCTCCGTACGGCAAGCTTTTTGGACCTAATAATGTTATGGTTGCCGTTAATACAATAATTGTTAGCTTATAGACGTGAAAATATACACTGACGGTGAGATATAAATATTGATATTTATTTAAACTTTAAACATCGAGAAAATCTCCAGAGAACTAGAAGATCGATCACGATTTAACTTTGCTTTGAATAATCTTAACAATGTAAGATAAGAATATAAAAATATGAGGAGGCTGGGGAAGTAAATTCGTATACGATGTAAGAGTCTAATGTAAGGAGAAAGAACTCACTATAAACTGTAAGAAGACAGCTTTGTCATTAAAAGTAATACCCCATGATGCAAGAAAGTTATATCAATGTATAATGTAGGAACAGATGGTGGGATAATTGTCTCGAAAATTCAGAGAAAAAGTTATACAGTGAAAGAAAGTCTCACATATCGAACAAATCGGTTTTCGAACAGAATATTCGAAGTGAAAATGCCTCGGTTAGCAAACAAAATTTCGGATCTCGAACAACATTAACGAACCCAATCGAACCGAGTTAACCCGAACTGAATCATTTCTTAGTCGAACGCCGTGTTGTATACATTCGTTTGTTGTGCTGTGCATTTCTTTTCTAATTTCATTCTACTTTGCCTTTTTTCTCTTCATTAGTCCTCAGTCACGGCTCCAAAGAAAGCGAGCAGTGATACTAATAAAAGAAAAGTAACATTTAAGAGAAAAAACAATTGTTGTCTGTTTGACTCTTCCTACTCAGTTTCATATGACAAAATTAACGATCTATACTATTCTTATAAATAAAGTGACAATCATGTCTTTCCTCCCACTTTTCAAACAAAAACATCTCTTTCTTTCTCCTTCTACTTATGCCATCAATTCCTCTACGTGCAGAAGGTACGGTAAAATTGAGGTCTTCTTCTATATTTTATCTGTTTAGTATTGTTGTTTTTTTTGTTTTTGTTTTTTGATTTAATGATTTTCATTAGTTTTATGTATTATATGATTTTCCTCAGATTTGTGTATAAACTTGTGCACAAATTATTGTTGTTAAAGTTTAAATAAACTATTATCTTATGACCAGGAACGGATTAATCAATTTTACATTGATTCCTATTGGAATATTAGTTTCGGTTTACGAAAATTTAAGGTTACGAACGGGCTTCAGGGACGAATTAAATTCGTGAATCGTGGTTCCACCGTATATGCATTTCAAATACCGAAGAAACTGTGAAGAGATGAAAGAATGAAATCCTTAAAAACAAAGGAAATAGCGCTGAAGATTGTCCATAATATGTCTCCAGTATGGTAGTTAATGCTTGATAATTTATTTTTCGCAGACGAAATGTGTTGCTGCCATATCACGTTGAAGTAACGGTTCCCGTTCGGTCATCGGAGATAAACATCGTTGAATCTAGTGAGGACTTAGATGGGTGACATCTTGGGAATCCCTGGTGCGGTAAGCTTGGCTGTATGGATGGTAAAATGAATAATAACTTGGAATAAGAAATCGAGGAGATGTTTTCGAATTCATGTAGGAAAGCTACGGATCCAACTCTGCTATCAAATAATCATTATTAGTCAAAAAAGATTATTACAATCCAAAAATACTCCGGTTATAAATAACCAGCAAAAGGTTTCTAAGCAGTAAATTACAAAAAAAAAATCATAATCACAGACGAAGGAACAATTGAAATGACGATCGGGTTCGTTATGTTCACATAGGCATAAATGCCTCTGCTATCAGAAAATAATTATTAGTCAAAAAAGATTATTACAATCCAAAAATACTCCGGTTATAAATAACCAGCAAAAGGTTTCTAAGCAGTAAATTACAAAAAAAAAATCATAATCACAGACGAAGGAACAATTGAAATGACGATCGGGTTCGTTATGTTCACATAGGCATAAAATCAGAAAATAATTATTAGTCAAAAAAGATTATTATTACTCCGGTTATAAATCAAAAAGGTTTCTAAGCAGTATTACAAAAAAAAAAATCAATCACAGACCAAAAATGACGATCGGGTTCGTTATGTTCACATAGGCATAAATGCCTCTGCTATCAGAAAATAATTATTAAACAATCCAAAATAGGTTTAAATAAAGCAAAAGGTTTCTAAGCAGTAAATTACAAAAAAAAAATCATAATCACAGACGAAGGAACAATTGAAATGACGATCGGGTTCGTTATGTTCACATAGGCATAAATGCCTCTGCTATCAGAAAATAATTATTAGTCAAAAAAGATTATTACAATCAAAAATACTCCGGTTATAAATAACCAGCAAAAGGGCAGTAAATTACAAAAAAAAAATCATAATCACAGACGAAGGAACAATTGAAATGACGATCGGGTTCGTTATGTTCACATAGGCATAAATGCCTCTGCTATCAGAAAATAATTATTAGTCAAAAAAGATTATTACAATCAAAAAATACTCGGTTATAAATAAAAAAAGGTTTCTAAGCAGTAAATTACAAAAAAAAAAAAATCATAATCACAGACGAAGGAACAATTGAAATGACGATCGGGTTCGTTATGTTCACATAGGCATAAATGCCTCTGCTATCAGAAAATAATTATTAGTCAAAAAAGATTATTACAATCCAAAAATACTCCGGTTTTAAATAATCTGTAAAAGTTTGATAAGTAGCAAAATAAAATAAAAAAAATCAGGATCACAAACGAAGGAGCAACAGAAATGCGGTTGTCCTGACGGATGATGACGACACCAGGGAAGAAACATGAGATTAACGAGGAAATATCACTGAGAATAGAAACTAAAAGATAGCTTCTATTGCAACCAGCTCAGGGGGTGGGGGAGCTGGAAATTATAGAACACATAACGGGGAAAGAAGAATTGCTGAATATAACACTTATAGGACAATAGCAAATATAAATGAGTGAAAATAAAACCTCGAAAGACAATGACAGGAAGATGTGAAGAGCCTTGATCACCCACGACCTGAAAGTACATTAAAAGAAACAAGGTTCTGGTTATGTTTTATTTTATAAATACAACTTTAAAACGTAATATAAATAACAATATTTAACTGTAAAATTATATTTTAACCGTTTATCGATATTTTAAAAAAAAGCGTTGATTATATCAGAATAATTCGAAATGAAGACTCTGCAAAAATTATGCTGCAATAACTTTTTCATATCACCTTGAATGCCTTCAAGAATGCATTTAAAATTCTGGAGTCTATCTGGATTCAAGAAACGTATTCTTCTTGAGAAAAAGCTCTCATGTTTCAACGTTAAACATTCAGAGCCGCAATGCTTATTTTCCAGCAAATTAAAATATTTAATAAAATTTTCCTCTCTTGAATTTCTATATTTTACAATTTCGATTTCCGCTTGGAAATTTTATAAAAAATATCTAAAACGAATTTATTTATGTTCATAACAACTCAGGGCGATCTCTATTTAGCAATACTACACTGGATTATACGCAACATTTTCCCTTCGATTAATCTAAATATAATAAGGATGGAAATTTATTAATAAAATAGCAAATACTTTCGGCCCAAACATACTTGAAGCTATGTTTTTCATAAATTTCCTGTAATTTATATATGCAAGAAAGCAAAAAAGCAAAACAAAACAAATAACAAAAAACAGCAATAATAAAACGAAATAATCCTACATTATTTTAGGGTTAAGCTGTTATTCGCTTCGAGTAGAATTAAGGAATGTCAATTTGGAACAAACTAAATGGTAATTCTGAAAAACAGAAAAAAAAGAACGGTATAATTCAATTCTGTAAGAAATTAATCAAGTACTAGAAACATCATCATTATAGACATGAATTATATTCTATCACGAACTTAATTCTGATCAAAAAGGCATTGGGTTATAGTTATTGTAGCGTATATGTATCTAATATCTAAAATGTGTAAAAATGTGTTATCCGATAGGGGACATGGTCAGTGAATAGGGAGAGGGGACCCTGCCACGAATCATAATAACAATGTTTTCTCTTTTCATTGTAATTCATTTACTAATTCTTGCAATAGACTGTAGAATGATAGAGCCACCCATTATCAAAACACTTGGCAAAATATTTGCAAGTATTGTTTATCTTATCCAGACGAGACAATACAGATAATGTGACCATATTTCATTTTGCAAAGGTTGTCTCTATAACAGCACACACACATTTCTGGATGAGCAGTTTTTATGACTTTTGAGCAACAGTAAGTGCATTTCAGAACGACGAATTGTCTTTAAAAACAAAGATTCGTAATTGGCTTCGTTTCAAACTATGCAAGCCGCTGATCGTCAAGGGTTAATAAATTTTGCATTTGTCAATAAATAA